AAGCTGAAATTCAAACTATTTCAGCTGACAGTGTAAACTTTTAGCTGACCTCTGCCCTTCTGGCTGGAGTCACAGCACCCTTCTGCCATACAGGGGGAGCTTGTTTAGGTCACAGTGGTGGATATGAGCACAGAAACTGCTGCTACGAGCAGGCTCTGAGATAACACGGTGCAGGATGAATTCCTGCCTCTCCCCCAGCACCAGCAACACAGCTCACGCTGTGGCTCCACCCTCTATGCAGTGTGGAAAAGACAATCCACGAGGTCTAGCAAATTTTATTCCCATGAGCTCCAGTGCTGTTAATTCTTGACTTCAGTGCTCCAAGCAGCTCTCTCGCTCAGTGCATGGCAGGGTGAGAGCCGACAGTCGCTCCTCTGCAGCAGCATCAGCACAGCCCGTTTCTGCTGCTCCAGCTGGCAGCACCCACACAAACCCACAGGTGACGAGGAGAACAGAGGGGGCGGAAGGAGCAGCATGTCTCTCACCACTTCCCCAGATGACATCACGCATCCCTTTCCTCCTCACGGGTTGCGTGTTGGCTGATGCAGTTATGGCACTGAGCAAATGGCGCCAGCTGGTCTTGCCAGCTCCCAGCAGGGCTCCTTTCCTCTCAGCACACAAATATCTGCAAGGAAAAGCAGCCTAGATCTGCTGCCACTGCAGGCTGACTTTCCAATGAGTCCTAGATTTCCTGATCTCTGCTTTTACTGTCTTCAGAGAGCCCTGAGGCACCAAGGGGCCTCCCCCACACCCCCTGCCCGCAGCAGGGAGTCCCACGACTGCCATGAGACAGTGAGAGCTAGCAGCTCCCTAGGGACACAGCCAGGGCACCACAGGACCCATCCTACAGCACCCAATGTGGCGAGCTGGGCAGGCCTGGGAGGGGGGTGGGCAGGTCCAGGCACAAGCCCCAACCATAAGGCTCATCATGGTGACGAGGCAGGTCGAGATGGGAATCCTGACTAGGGTCAGGATCAGGCACAGTGATGGTAGGGCCACAGGGATGGGCTAAGGCTGGGCCTCGTGGGCCTGGCTCCGCATGGCTTATGGCAGGGCACGGCTGTGGGGGAGCTGGAGACCAGCCCTGCTGCAGGGTCACTGAGGCAGCCGCCAACATCCCTGGGGGGGTGTGATAGGGTCCTGGCCCATGGGCAGGGTGGATGGTGGTCCTGGGTGGCTGGAAAGGGATGGTCAGGGCTAATGGTGCCCTTGTGGCCCTGTCAGCTGGATAGGATTATTCAGGGCCTTAAAATGGCAGAGAATGCCTCAGTGCATCCATTATGCTCCTTAAGACCTTGTCATCCAGGTCTAATTATGGTTGCACGGCAAGACATGGCCAAGTGCATGCATGTGAGAACATAAAAAAAAGGAGAGACATGACTTGTCCTGACTTGTCTGGGGTTCTGGGAAAAAGTAGCAGCAAGACGTTCTGACAAAGCTGCCCCTTTATTTACAAGCATACATGTGGGGAGAAATGCTACAGTCACCTGTTTTGACCAAGCCTGTGATTTTCAAATGCATCTTTATTGATTGGTTGATTTAGCTCAAGTAGTATGAACTTTATTTTACAAGAGCCTGCAGCTAACCAACACAAAAAGAATTACCATCATTACCTTGCACAATACTGGACTAGCGCAAAAAAAAAGAAGTAAATGCCACAATCCAGTTAAAAGAAACATAAAATAACTAAATTAAACTGTAAATTCTACATGTAACAAACAGCTGAGATTAGTCCCATACATGTAACTTATAAACCCAGCAGCAGGAGGGGAGGGGAGGTCTGAACACAAACCCAAGCACTCCAAATGCAAACTCTTTCTCCCTGAGCATGCCTAAACACGGGCTCACTTGAGACAACACACAACCACGTGCTTGGCAGCATGCGCATGACCAAGTGGGACAGTGACAAAGAGATGCACACCATCTGCCTGCATCTTGTCTTTTACCGTAGAAAGCCTCCTGGGTCTGTTCTCTGCTTCAGAAGATTCAGAGCTTCCTAAAACAAGAGACTGATGCAGATTTGCACCTGAAGGATGTGAAAATAGCCTGGTAATTGGAGGAGGGCGAGTCAAAAAGAGAGAACTGAGCACTGCAGGTGGAAACTGAAGTTATCTAATTTGGCAGTAGGTACAACTCATTCAAATTAATTTATTCCAGATGAACATATGATGGAAGAGCAAACCTGAAGTTCAGGACGAAAAACTGGGATACTAACCCACCCATTTCATCCTTTGTTCTCCCACTTTCTGTCTGTCCATTACAACTACTCTGCCTACGTCCTTTGCAGTCTCTCCCTTCTTTCCCATTCTTCTCCTACTTCCCATCCCACACAGGCAGTGAATCTCCTGCCCCCTACGCTGCCTTCCCTGACCTTCACACAGTTCTGCCAGTGACTCCCACTTCACACTCCCAGCCTGCTCTTCTGCCTTGTGTACGTCTGTGGATCAACAGTCAGAGAAGGTTGAAACCTGATTTCCTGTCTTCCACAATCAGAGGAGCACTCATCTTGACTTCTTATTCCTGAGGAATGCGGAGAACTGGGATCTAACTTCATGTAAATAGCGCAAATACCTTCAATTTATTCTGGAATTTGCCTGTCTTCATCCTTCTTGTCTTTTCCTTCCTCTTGGTCCCTCTCTTAAATGAAGGAATGTTTACAGTGATTCAGGTCCAGTTCTCTCATTCTTAGATAAAGCCCCAGAATTTTCCTGAAAGTCAGCTTACTTGCCAAACCCCCTCCCTTCATCAGTTATGGCAGTAATGGGAAAATCTGCTGTTTGTGCCACTGGGAAGAAACTGCTTTGGCATGACAGCATAAGGCTTGCACAGAACATCAACTGTCTGTCACCTTTTTAATAACAACACTGGCTTAAAAGAAAATAAATAAATAAAATAATCCACAGAGAATCTATTCCCCTTCAAGTCAAAAAGCACCTCTCTTGTGGCGAAGAGTGGCACTGCAGTCCAATTGCAAAAAAGCCAGCAAAACACATGTGGAAGCGACTGATTTCTTCTGCTTGTGCATGTGGTGCAAGGGCTGTACAGGGATGAGACATGGAAGGGAAGCTAAACCCACAGGACTTCTGCCCCACCTTCAAATCTTCAGAAGACTGGTACAAGTCCAGCACTGATAGAAAATTTTCTGTGTTCACCAATAACAAAACCATTAGTAGTTAGACGCCTTAACGCACAGCAAGGGAGACTAAAGTTAAGTAGCTAGAAAAGCTCTCTCACTTCTAGGTTAGCTAGGAACTGAACAGACAATCTCAGCAGCCTCCAGGATCTGCCTCAGTGAAGTTCACTAAGAGTAAGTTTGATGAGCAGCCACGGTGGACACGTTTGGTATACTCAGTCCTGTCTCAGAGATGCAGTGGGCTAGTCATTCTCTTGAGGTCCTTTCTAGCCCTCTGCTTATGAGTTTATCAATTGACTTCACTGAAAAAAAGTGAAAGGGTCATCTCTAATTTTTCTGTCCAGTACTTGCAATTAAAGTAACAAAGGAAAAAAAAGAATCCTTCCTTCTTTTCCCCAACCTTCACATTTCATGGGTGAGGAGTTCCCAGCCCTCAGAGTTAGCTCTTCCAGTACTGATGGAAGTGACGGGAAACATAGTACTCTTGGAACGCTTCACAGGTAGCAGCTGGAGTGAGGACTGCCAGCACAGGACAGCCTTGTGTAGCAGAGTGAAGTATTTCACAGCTCACTGAATGCTCACAGGAGTGAAGCATGGGCAAGGCATGACAAGGTCAGTGTACAATACATGGCATGCCTTCTTTATCCAATGAAAAGGTGACACAAAAATGGCCATCCTGCCCAGTCACTCTCCTGGAGCTCCACCACACTGGCTTGTCCAGCAGCCTCCAGTACTGGCTAACTACTTCCAGCTGTGGCAAGAGAAGAACTATGAACAGTGGAGTCTTCCCATCCCCCAGCACAGAACCCCTCCCTCGTTAGCCTTTCAGTTCACCCTTTCATACACTCTCCTCCTACCCTCCCTCCCCTCAATTTAAAAAATAATGGTTATAATGAATGCATGGAAGGTGATGGCATTGTGCATGTGGTTCACTTCCAGTCCGCTTCCCCTCTTCTCAGGCATCCTCCCTCCTTCTCTCCAACATCCTCCCCCAAATCCATTCCATCAGTCCATCTCGCCTGTGTGCCTGAGGGGCTGGTGCTCACTTGCCATAGACGCTCTCATCGCTGTAGGCCACATAGAGAAAATAGTCCTCCTCGTGGTTATCCTGCAAGGGGAGAAAGTAACAAACCAAAGTCGTGTAACTCATTACATGTGAAAAAGCTCAACCAGGAGATAATTGTAACAACAAGTGGGCATAACCTCTCTTTCTCCCCGTTTCTCCCCCTCTACATAGGCGGCTTTCCTTCCTCATACCAAAGAGAGTGTACAGCAACTCTCTCTGGCCACATCTCTACTTCTAAATTCAGGCATGTCACATTTATGGAGACACAGAATTTACTTAGGGCCACAGCCAGTGCACTGCAAATGTGCAACAGAAACAGCTCTGACTTGCAGGCTATGCAGCAGAATCTCAGCACTGGTATTATATTATTATTATATAAGATTGAGAAGAGAGACTTGGAAGGCTTTAACAAGTCAAAAATGATCTCTTAGACATTTCAATATTTGGTAAATGTGGTTATATTTGTAATTTTTCAGAACGCTTTGACAAGTGCTATATTTCTAGTCCTTTTCACATATGGTCAGTAAAGCTGAGATGTTAAGTGACTACACTGACACAAAAAGTCTGTGGAGCGCCAGTAACAGAGTCCTGATCTCAGCTCTGGATGGTTAGACATATCTTCCTCCTACATGTCCAGATTTGTAAAACTCCCTGTGTGTTATAAATTTAAATTATCTTCATCAGTTCACATACAAATTGTCCAGTTACTGTCAAAAAGTAACAGGTCACACAAGGCTCACAGCACCATACTGAAGCTCTCCCATTAAAACACAGTAACATAGCAGACGGAGAAATCAAGGAGAAATCAATCTGGCCTGCAAACCAGCCATGATGTAACAGCTATATAATTGACAAACATTCCTCTGATGGGCACAGAATATGCCTTTAAGGTCTATCAGATAACACTGCTCAGTAGAAACGCTGGGCAGCAATGTTCACAGTGTCCTACAAGGTCCTCACGTGTACAGTACAAGCGATAAAAAAGTAATTCTGTTCCTTGACAACATATTTCTAGACGGTTGCCAGTGATACTGTGTTCTTTTACTGGCTAAAAGGAAATCTCTTTTACACATACAGGAAAGCTAGTGTGTATGTTCCACATGCACCACCCCCCGCCCCCATCCCCTGGCCTCACATACAATCTTTCCTGTGAAATACAAATAAAGAAGTGTTTTATTTCAATACTTTGTTAAAGCAGTAGGACAAACATATCACTGCTGGGGCAACTATTCACCACCTGATACAACAACCCTTTCAACTGGCAAACAATCAGTTAAAATGATGAGGCTCCCTTGGCTCCTCTTTATAACTGCAGGATGGAACCTCCCTAAACAGATAATGGGACACAGCCCAGGCCAAGGGAGTCTCTGTTCAGGCATCTGTGACCAAGCTGCATCTACTGCCAGATGCCAGTGCTCATTTGTCCTTCAGCAAGGATCTGCATTCTTATGGACACTCCGACAAAAGGAGAAAGAGATGGACCAGGCTTACCTCATACAGCTGGCCCATGGTAGCACTGGTGGGAGGGATGGTATTATTGACAAAGAAGAATAGGGCATCTTCCGGCCTCAGGTGGATCCGCTTTCGGATTAAGAAGTAGAACTGGCCAACTGAAGAGGAACAGAGGAGAGTGCCTCAGATGCAGAAAGAAAGTTTCGGTTTCTTTTTTTGTTTTTGTTTGTTTTTTTTTTTACCCTAACAATGGTTCTTTTCTTTTGGTGGTGGAAGTCATATGCTGTATGTAGAAAGCAGGGAAAAATGAACAATGCAGGAAAGAAAGCAGTAACTTCATCATTGTAACCACATTAACAACCAATCCACTCGGAGCTGGCAGTATCTCAGGTACATGCCTCAGGCCATGTACCCTCTAAATCCACGCTCCACCTACTGTGGTATGAAATGCTCTACTGCGGGGACTAGTCTGAAGACCTCTAACTAGCTTAACCTTTAAATCCTACAGATCAAAGACACCTTAGAGAATTTAGACTTGGTGTAAATGGTCATAGCATTCCTGAAAACAAACTTCTGAAAATAAATTCCCTACTATTTGCTTGAGCTATGTTGCACAAGAAAGTATTCTGCAACCCATCATATACTGTAAGAGAAAGAAATGCTGTTCCTTTAACTCATTCATGTATTCAAATGAAAACAAATGTAATAACACACAAAATGGCCATGACCATTTGGAAAAGGAACTTTGTAGCCACGAGTCCAACCACGGGGGTGGAAAACGATGGGACTATTTAAAGAACTTGTCTCTTCCTGCAACAAGGACATAGCCTCTGGCAACTCTGCAGCTAGTCAACATTGACTGATGATTATGCTACTCTCTATGATACACAATTCAGTCATTTTCATCATGGCTAGAAGTCAGCTGTGACACATGCATGTTAGCTAAGTCAGTGGGATACCTTAGAAGATCTCAAAGAATTCTGCATGTTGTAATCCAGGCTGTAAGGTACATAAATATAACAAGGACAGCCAAGTAAACTGGGGTAATGATAAGATGTTGAGCCTGCCTGGATATTTTGTTGGTGTTGACCATAGAGTAAAAGGCACTTCTGAGAGCTTCCCACTGAAAATCAGGAAGAAAGGAGGTAGACTTTGTTACCTGTGAGGTCAGAAGGCACAAGATACTTCCTTTTGTCTAGGTCAGGTACTCTGGCTTTTGGTGCCTTTTCCACAATTACCTGGAGAGAGAGTGAGAGTGAGAGTGAGAGAAAGCAAGAAACAACCCATGGGTATCATAAAACGAAATGGACCAAAAAGCAGCAGCGAAAAAGGGTATCACCCTTCGAGAGAGATGGTGCTACCAGGCCTTTAGGAATTTATTTAATCTATAACGAATACAGAACATTAAAGAACAGATAGGTAAGAAAAAGACTTAAAATCACTGGCAATAGCTGTGCTGGGAGCTCAAGACTGCAGCGGTAAGCACAGTGAGTAAAAAACAGAGACTGGAACAGATATAAAAATAAACCATAATGGCCAAGAAAAAAAAAATCAGGTCACCTTGATGGTTCCCATGCAGGTTAATTTTGTATGAAGGAGCTGCCAGGAGGCTAATACATGAATACAAGAAGTATCACAAGCAAGTTGAACTTTTTCCAGGTTACAGTTCCAAACCGCCTGGCACAAAATCAGCCCTACTCCCAGTGGTCCCACATCCTAATTTCTACATTCACCAATACCAAGTGCTCTAGCACAAAGCAAAGAGAAATTACAGCTCATTGGGGAACTGGGTTATTTTTTTTATTCCTAGTTCCTCGGTAGTTATCTTCTACTCTGAAATTCATATCCTTCAAGGTTATTTTCCCTACTTCATATAGTTATGGGCATTTCCCTATTCATATAAATATCTAAACAGGCTACCATCTGGGCAATTGGACCCACAGAGACATTTGACTACAAAATACTAATCCTCATTATATTCTAATGTCATTATGGCATAGAAAAATAGGAAGCTCAGCAGCTTAAGGTCAAACAGACCAAGAGATCTTCTGCTACAGGAAAATTTTTGTTACCAGAGCTAGGCAAAATGTTTACTTCAGAAGTAGGAAGTATTCCAAAATGATGTGATCTCCTTCTGTGAAAACCTTTGGAACTACTGGGTTTGTGCAGGAAAAAAAATTGCAGGCAGTTTTTAGGTTGGCTTTTGGTGTGTGTGTGCGGTTTTGTTTTTTTTTTTGAGATACATATTCTTGAACTGTAAGAGATATATTACGTGATTCAATCTATGTGGCTTGCTGTTCTGCTGAAGCCATTTTGACCATCTAAACAAGAAGCTGGATTTTATCTGAGATACTAATTTCCATCTGAGATACTGTGGGACTAATTTCTAAGAGCTCCATGCTCCCATAGCTCTTTGGCAGCCCAAATCAGCAACTGTATTTGTTGTGTAACAGAAAAGGCTGAACTGCTGTTGACTAAGCCTTCTTTGGAAGCAAAATGGTGTTGTCACATCAGTGAGACACTATACCAGAGAAAAGAAGTTACAACGATGAGCTTGGTGTATTTAGCCTGGACAAAGCAGCACACTAACTCAACTCGACTCCTTCCAGATCCAAGTGAGTATCTGCAAAGCATGTCACACCACAGAAACACTAGCTTGGACATCTCTTCACTGCATTCCATTTGGATGTTGCCAACAGAGCCAAAACCCCTAAAAATTCTCAGCTTGTTTTTAAAATGGAAATGTGGTCATCTCTACTACTTCGAGAACTTCAAGGACCTCAGTTACAAGACATTCAAGCTCTTTCAGACAGTTTGTGGTAGAACATGCATTTCCATACAAGATGCAGTTGCTGAGTACTATGAAGGAAGGACAGCTCCACCATCTCACTGAACAGGTGAAGGCTGAACAGCAACAGCACTTGCACATTTTTTTACCCACACATCCAAGCAATATCTAACACAATAAACTGCATCAGAAAGAAATCTTTACTTCTTGCCTCCAATTTCAAAAACTACTGAGAAGCCGAACTGATAGCTAGCAGCACTGATGTGACCACCCTGACTCAAAAGGGTGGCTTGTAGCTTGGTCATTAGATAACAAAGAAGTCATGCCTATGAGGAAGAGGTGAGAGTTGTTTGGGCTTCTAAGCCCCTAGGAAAGATTTCAATTAGATCATCACTGAGTTTAAGAGAGATCTCTCTCTTGCAAAGAAGCAGGGAAGGAATGGAGATGCCCTTCTAGTCTGACTATCAGCTGTAGTCAGTTTGCCTGATAACGCAGGTTATCTCTTCGGAAGGACTAAACTCTTCATGCACACAAACAAACCTATAAAGAAAATCCAAAGGGCAGGTACAGATTATCTGTATGTCTGTTGTTACTGGGTGGTGACTGTGGTAATGTGGGACCGTGCCAACAGTGTAATCTCAGCAAAATGCTGAGATGTATCAGGGCACTGCAGTGTAGGCAGCCAAACGAATGTCATCTTCAAGGATCCTGCTGTCAGGAAGAGCAGAGACAGAAGTGATGCAAAGAACAGTTGTCTGCTGTGTTCATTTGCTCCATCTGCAGCTCTGACAAGAGGCTACCCCCAACAATTCACATCTCACCCTCTCCATACATTGTTTTAATTTATTGTTCACTTCAGTACATCTTGTTATTTTGGTCCTGGCTTTCCCCATAAAGATCTGCTGATGTCCCTCTTTCCTGACCTCTTTCACCTCTTGCCAGGCTCGGTCTGGTCCTGGGCTCCCCACACAGCTCTTACAGACACATCTATCACGATCTGCTGTACAATCCGCCATGTTAATCCTCAGTTTACAGCTTGTCTCCCTCCTGACCTACAGAGCCCTCTGCAGTCCTCATCAAAGAACACGGAACCGCACACACTCCACCATTGACTCGCTGCGTGCTCAACCTGCTGTGCTATGCCAGGGGTCCCAAAACCACCTAGGACAAATGCACCCAAATACGGACTTCCAAAAACTTTTGCAAGTCCAGTTGAGGGCCACTCCCAAGATAAAAAATGGTGTTAGCCTGCAGGGAAAACATGTGGTGTAACTGTTCCTCCTTGTCCTTAGACTTATAGAGGAGTCTAAGTTCTTTTGCATGCAGTACCCCTGGGCAGTAAATCTAGGACAGACCTCTCCAGTGGGGATGGAAAGAAAGAACACTTGCAAAACGTTTACTAAAAAGGAACAAAAAAGTCACAATTAATTTGATTTGTCATTTCTTTTTTTCCAACTATTATTAGTAATTATAAAGCTAAAAGTTTTCCACAGGCACTCCAAAGGGACCTAGGGATAAGGAATTAAAGTTTAGCTAAAAGATGACCTTGTTTTCCAAGTGACGTTTTTTCCACAGGATGATGAAACAGGAGAGCAGAAAGACTGAGAAGTATCATTTTTCCCTCACGGCAAAGGAAAAGAGCAGAGAGCAAGACCGTATCGAAAAGACAGGTAAAAAAAAAATCCATAAAATGAAAATAAAGGGAAAGTATCAAGTGACAGGGATACATACCTTGTTCTCTATGAAGAGCACCCGTGTAGCTCACCCATTGTTCTCCTCCATTTTCACAGAGCTAGTCAAAGCTAGCTCCTTCCCCACCCCCCAACCCCACGCACGCAGGCTGCCAGAAAAAGATTAGCAGCGTTCTCGCTGTCGAGTTACTGCGGATCCCAGGAAAGAAAGGAGGAAAAAAAAAA